GTTTGTGTAGTATTATACTGTATAATTTCTGTACTCATATCTGACCACAACTTTGGATGAAACCAGTTTATAAATACAGATAAATAATAAAAGAACACACTACAAACAATTGCAAATAATGTGGCTGCTCTTCATACACTCGTGTCCTTCTGCTTCCTCCCACAGACAGGAAACATGCATCTTTTGGAACCAAACCTAAGGAATCACTCTTCCCTCACACATTTTCTTCTCTTGGGATTCTCAGAGGTTCATGAGCTGCAGGTTTTACTCTTCATTGTCTTCTTCGTTTACTACTTCATTGCAGTTGGAGGAAATCTTCTCATCATCTCTGCAGTAGCTACTGACCACCATTTGCATAATCCCATGCACTTCTTTCTGATGAACTAGGCCATACAGGATGTGGGACAAATTTCAGTTATTGTCCCCAAATCCATGGCAAATTCCATCATGGAAAGTAGACAAATTTCATATTCTGGATGTGTGGCTCAAGTGCTTTTCTATGTCTTCTTTCTGGCATCCGATTTCTTTCTTCTCACAGTTATGGCATACGATCGGTATGTTGCTATTTGCAATCCTTTACAATATGAGATGTTGATGAACAAGAAAACCTGCCTTCAAATGATTGCTACTGTCTGGATCAGCAGCTTTCTTTATGGAGTCTTACACGCTGGTGGTACCTTTGCAGTACCGTTTTGCTCCAACATTATCAATCAATTTTTCTGTGAAATCCCTGAATTAGTGAAGATTGCCTGCTCTGATTTGTTCCTAATTGAAGTTGGATTCCTTTTATTTAGTATTGTGGCTGTAGTAGGTTGCTTTATTTTCATTCTTGTGACTTATGTGTACATCTTTACTGCAGTGCTGAAAATTCAATCTTTGCAGGGAAGGCAGAAAGCCTTCTCGACCTGCCTTCCACATCTCATTGTGGTTTCTGTATTTATATCTACAGGATGTTTTGTTGATATCAAGCCCTCTTTTAATACGCCATCATATCTTGATTTGGGAATAACTATATTGTATTCCATGGTTCCCCCTTTAATGAACCCAATAGTGTACAGCATGAGAAACAAAAGAATAAGAAATGCTGTATCCAAGGTCTTAGGTTTAAGATATTCTTCAAAGGTTCCTCACTAACTTTGCTCAACACAGGTGACCTCTTTGTGTATCTGTCATCCATCAAGAACCATTCCTTAGGTCTTCTTTTGCAATTCCAGGTTCTGCAATAGCTTTTACACACAGAGAGCTGTGGTTACTCCCAAGATCAAATGTATGACACCTGAATACTGACTTCAGAGTACTACAATTTTTTTGTAATTTTTGTAATAAAGGTAAAGGTAAAGGTTCCCCTTGACAATTTTTGTCCAGTCGTGTTCGACTCTAGGGGGCGGTGCTCATCCCCGTTTCCAAGCCATAGAGCCAGCGTTTTGTCCGAAGACAATCTTCCGTGGTCACGTGACCAGCGTGACTAGACACGGAACGCTGCTACCTTCCCACCTAGGTGGTCCCTATTTATCTACTTGCATTTGCATGCTTTCGAACTGCTAGGTTGGCGGGAGCTGGGACAAGCAACGGGAGTTCACTCCGTCGGGTGGATTCAATCTTACGACTGCTTGGTCTTCTGACCCTGCAGCACAGGCTTCTGCAGTTTATCCCGCAGCGCCACCACGTCCCTACATTTTTGTAATACTTTTTGTTAATTTGAGTCTCTGGCGATCCTTTTCAATTACATCCACATTCACCTAGATATTTAGGTATAAATGTTTTCATTATTTAAAACATGAGATGTACAAACCATAACATTCTTTAATATTAGTATTGTTTTGAAGCCCAAAGAAGACAGCATAAATATATGTTGGATCAAAGACAGGTAAAGCAGGGAAGGTATGATGGAGGAGGATTCATTTCTGATAAAGGGACTGGTGGCCTTGGAAGAAGGAAGAAATGATCCTGTGCCTTTTTTCCCCATTACTAGAGCTGTCTTTCACTTTGAAGACAGGTTGCACCTGGGCTTTTAGGAGTGTTGGTAGATGGTGCCACAAGACAGGTTGCTTATTTAGGTCCTGCCTACACAGTGTACTTATATTGCCTATTCAGACAAATTGTACAGAGAAAACCTTACTTAATTGTAGGTCCAATTCTTTTCCTGCAACATCAGAAGAAGAATGCATAGGAATCAGGATAGCTCGCCATCACACCATCTCAAATATGAATCAGATGGTGGTGCTAAGTGAATTCTCAAAACCTTCATTCCTCCTTCAAAGCCAGAAGACAGCACATAAATTATACTCACAATTGGAACAAGAAAGAAATGAAGACAGAAATTTATAGGAACACTTTGTAGAACAACTAGGTTCCAACGTCAGCTCATGTTTTGGTAAGATGTAAACTACACAATTGTGTTGGGCAAATGGGAGCCATCCCTTCTGTTCCCTACCCAGGATCCAGTGGTTTGAGGAATCTGAAGCTGGATAACAAGGCCCAGGAAACCTTAATATAGCATGTGTGGACTAGTGCTATATTAGGACTAGGACTAGCTAATTGAGAACAATTAGAACTAGGATCTGATACTCCAGGGGGCATTAGGGATGGTACACAAAGCTTCAGGGATCCCCTAAAACTCTCCTCTTCAGAATATGGGGATGCCTTTGAGGCTGATGCGGAAACTTCAGGTGGTGCAGAATGCGGCGGCCAGACTCCTCACTGGAGTGAGAAAATACCAACATATTTCTCCAACTCTGGCTGCATTGCATTGGCTACCCATTCGTTTCTGTGCCGACTTCAAAGTCTTAATGCTTACTTACAAGGCCCTAAATGGTTTAGGACCTTGATATTTGGCGGAACGCCTGCTCCCACCAAGATCTACCCGGATTATCTGCGCAAGTCAGGAGGTAAGGCTGAGGAACCTGATGCCGAGAGAGGCGCGGAAGGAAAAGACACGAAACCGGGCCTTCTTGGCATGGCTCCTCACCTCTGGAACAACCTCCCTTCAGAGATTTGTGCGGGCCCTACGCTGGGAATCTTTAAAACCCGATTAAAAACATGGTTGTACTTCCAGGCCTTCCCTCCAGTCAATACCTGATTTCTTTTCTGTCCCTTCTTATTTTATTCTCACTCTATTTTATTGTAACTGTATTGAATGATTATGTAATGTTCTTGTGTTTTATTTTTTTATCTTATACTGGAAGCCGCCTAGACTGGTTGAGTAGACCAGATAGGCGGGGTATAAATCAAATAAATAAATAAATAAAATAAACCTCTGGACTCCAGATGTGGCCAACTAGAAAGGGATATCAGCCTGCCTAGGCAGCTTCTGTAATAGAGAAATCCAGAATTAAACTTAGCTGGCTGAAAGACTGGAACTTCCACTTAACTGGAGAAGGTAGGATAGGTCCAGATAGCAGAAGACTAGATCTTACACTTCATTGCTGGGGAGAGGGCAGAATTGATCCCATTTGTCCCTCTAATGGTCTGGCTCCTGCTCACTTGTTACATTCATGCACCCATCGCTGCAGTGAACTTCACTCATCCGTATGCAACTGTGCTATATGTGTAACACTTACTGCACATTGTTATAGCTAAGTAAAGTCCTACTTATCAAACCTCACTTAGATCTAAATCACAAGAAAATATTAATGTACACATGTCCTTTCCAATAAATCATACCCTGTTCCAGTTCTGTAGATGAGCTTTCATGCAAAGTTCAATGAGGCCTCATCTCTTATTGCTCAAAATATGTTCAACGCAGGCATGAGGAAACATGCCATCTTGCCATTTCCTGTATTGCAGGTATAAAAATGGGCAGAGGGAGAGAAGAGCACACAGCAGGGCACCAAGGGGACAAAGCAGGCAAGAAGAAACAATAGAGAGACTGTCAAATGTGCAATAAGACCCTGTCTTATTTTCAAGGAAAAATGGTATGTGGCACAGCTCTATTTTCTGAAGTTCATTCTAGGGAGCAATGATCAGCACATAGTAAAGTGAAAATGTTTTTCATTTTACTAGTCTTGCTTTTAAATAGTATTAGTGACTTCTTTGTGCTTTTCATGATAATAAAATACCCGCTTTTCATCCTTCATATTAAATTTGATAGGTATCTATGAACATTTCTCAGTCATACTGTATCTATCCAGTCATTTCTCCATTTTTCCTTTTCTTCTGACTGGCTGGATATCGGCAGCCTTTAGAAACAGAAGAAGGTAAGTAATGAAAAGGTAGATCATTGCTACATATTGGCCAATAATTTCATCTTAGAAGATTCATGTTTTGGAGTTATGATGACTTCCCATTGGAGCATATCTCAAGGGGCACCAAGAGAATATGAACAAATCCCCTCTCTGGAATACTATTTGCTGGCCAAAAGAAGGTGGATATATTCGTTTCTCTCTGTGGTTCCATATTATACATCAATATTGAATATCAGTGGAAGAGAAGATCTATCTGAAGGTGAGAGGAATATATGAAGAAAAGAACTAAGTTATTTCTACGTGATATCTTAAGGGGCTTCTCAATTGTTCTTGCTGCAAAAAAATATGTTCTAGTATATATTATACTATCATGTTTTCTTTCTCTATCTTAAACACTCACAACCATGAAAGGTGAGATATTTATAATTGCAACACACAGGTAAATTTTAAAAATTCTTTGGGCCATTAGTATATATTTCTTTTGCCTCACATGTCTATTTGATGTAGTGATATCCTGGATGTAGTTATCTCTTCCCACCATGCACTAAAAATTAAATTTAAAGGCAAAGTTGAAGATGCACCAGTTTTTGCAAGCCTTCCGTCTGCAATTATGTTATTTTGATTGTGTGCATGTCTATTGATTCTACTTATGATTGTACTCAATATTTTGTAACTTCTGAAAACATGTTTAGTTGTTTACTAACACTGATGAAGGATAATAGGTTAAACCATCGTAAAAACAAAAATTCTAGCAATTGCAAGTAACGAAGCTGTTCTCCTCACATGTGCTTCTGCTTCTTTCCATAGCCAGGCAACATGGTTCTTAAGGAACACAACCTAAGGAATCAGTCTTCTCTCACACACTTTCTTCTCTTGGGATTCTCTGAGGTTCATGAGCAGCAAGTTCTTCTCTTCATCATCTTTCTTGTTTATTACCTGGTCGCAGTTGGAGGAAATCTTCTCATAATCACCGCAGTAGCTACTGATCACCATTTACATAGTCCCATGTACTTCTTTTTGACGAACTTGGCCATACAAGATGTGGGACAAGTTTCTGTCATTTTTCCCAATTCCATGGCAAATTCCCTCATGAGTAGTAGACAGATTTCATATTCTGGATGTGTGGCTCAAGTGCTTTTCTATACCTTCTTTATAGTGTCTGATTTTTTTCTTCTTACAATTATGGCATATGATCGGTATGTGGCTATTTGCAATCCTTTGCACTATGAGATGCTGATGAACAAAGAAGCCTGCCTTCAAATAATTATTATTGTTTGGATCAGCAGCTTTCTTTATGGAGTCTTACACACTGGAGGTACCTTTGCTGTCCCTTTTTGCTCTAACATTGTCAATCAAATTTTCTGTGAAATCCCACAGTTATTAAAGCTCACCTGCTCTGATTTGTATCTTATTGAAGTTGGAATTATTTTGTTAAGTGTTGTTATGGCATTAGGATGCTTTGTTTTCATGCTTGTCACATATGTACAAATCTTTACTACGGTGCTAAAAATTCCTTCTGTGCAGGGAAGGCAGAAAGCTTTCTCAACTTGCCTACCCCACCTAATTGTCGTTTCCTTATTTATGTTTACTGTAACCTCTGTTTATATCAAGCCCTCCTCTAATTCTCTACCATCTCTTGATTTGGCAATGACTATATTATATTCCATGGTTCCCCCTTTAATGAACCCAGTAATCTACAGCTTGAGAAACAAGGAAATAAAGAAAGGTCTATCTAATCTTTTAGGTTTTAGAAAATCATCTGCGAACTCTGTTTAGCCTTTCTTTTTTGTACCTCTTATCCATAAAGAAACATTATTTAGTTTTATGTATTCACAAAGGCTTTCATGGCTGGGATCTAATGGTTGTTGTGGGTTTTTTCAGCCTCTTTGGCCGTGTTCTGAAGGTTGTTCTGAAGGAAGAACAACCTTCAGAACATGGCCAAAGAGCCTGAAAAACCCAAAACAACCATTATTTAGTTCTATTCAGATTTTGCACACACAGAGCTGCATCTGGTATTATTTTAAAGG